CGGAAGCTTCTGTCACGAAACAAATTCCTCGTATGTGTAAACATACCTGGCAATAAAGCTCATTCTGATTCTGCAAAACGCAAATGTAAGAAACTTATCCAAGATGATGATGATGACGATGGTTATTACTATTTATCTTAAGTTCTGACTACAAATGACTTTATTTGAATGTGTTTTCATTTGCCGGGATGATAGAATTGACGTCATTACGTGTTACGTAAAATAACCGGATTTTTTGAACCGGTTCATTGAAACGAACTGTCCGAAAGAACCGGTTCGCGGAAAAGAACCGGACTTCCCGTCACTAATACAACATGACAGATGTTTAAATGCATTAAGAAGTGCAAAACATTGCGCCCAACGTGGGGCTCGAACCCACGACCCTGAGATTAAGAGTCTCATGCTCTACCGACTGAGCTAGCCGGGCTTGCGACACACAGTAAGACGCAGTTAAACTCACATAGCCAGCTGTAGCGTTACTTTACTATAATAGTACATGGCATACAAAACAGCCTACATCTACATTTCTACTAAATGCACTTACACTTGATGCTAGCCTTCATTCTTCATGTTTACTTTAAAATACCCGAGACCCAGACATACGTAAAGGACTGGTGTGTTGTCACATTGTTTCAGCGGTCTCGCATTAAACAAATTGACTAAACAGGAGTCCAAACCAAGCTCTTTTAACTTACTAGGTTCTTTTTTCACTGTTAGGACAGATAACGTTCAGTCCTCTTGAAAAGCGCTAGTAGCCTACTGCGCGCGTTCCTACAAATATAACAACTTACAGCAAAGACATGCACTGCGTTCGATCTTTTCAAATGTACAAAATAGTTCTCAAAACTTTGTCAATTGAGGTCACTGATAAACTGTATTTTGTGCGTAAAAACAATAAACGACCACATAGAATTAACATGATGAAAAACACTGTGCAAGTGCAGATGAAACAAATTGGTCTCAAATGGGGGTAAAATGCTTTCACATTTTAAGAACTCGTTTTAAAACAGCAAAGGCAGCGGAGAAGATGCATACGCACTGATTTGATGGCTAGGCTATATTACAGACACAAACGTGGTCTGCCTTCAGAATAAGCATAAAATGGCTTCTGATTCCAATCCCCTTTTACAGCTAACTAAGCTCATAGGGAACTTACAGTCATCTCTAACCCAAACATAATTTCACCTATAACAATAGGCTTACCTTTCGCTCCACCAGTCAAATCGTGGTCTGAGTTGAAGATCACATTACCGGTGATGGGTGCTAATCAACCCTAATAGCATATTTAACAAACGATGCCTGTTTGCGTTTTTTGAGAGCGTCAACGGTTTCTATTTACAACGTGTTATTGCAGCGTTGAGCGAAGTAGCCAATCACAGACATATCTGTTGATTTCTTGAACGCAATGGCCAATCAAATGGGTTTTTTACATTGCGAAATCAGCGCAAATCCCGCCCCGCAGCTAATTTCATTACATCAAACCCAGTGACAACATCCTATGAGCTGCATTGGACCTATTCAGGTGCATCTCAATAAATTAGAATGTCGTGTAAAAGCATGCCACGCCGAATTGAGGCAGTAATTAAAGCAAAAGGAGCCCCTACCAAGTATTGAGTACATGTACAGTAAATGAACATACTTTCCAGAAGGCCAACAATTCACTAAAAATGTTTTTTTTATTGGTCTTATGAAGTATTCTAATTTGTTGAGATAGTGAATTGGTGGGTTTTTGTTAAATGTGAGCCAAAATCATCACAATTAAAAGAACCAAAGACTTAAACTACTTCAGTCTGTGTGCATTGAATTTATTTAATACACGAGTTTCACAATTTGAGTTGAATTACTGAAATAAATGAACTTTTCCATGACATTCTAATTTATTGAGATGCACCTGTACATGGATTAAACCACACTCTACACCCAGCGGTTGGGTTACTACCCAGAAGGTTGGGTTAAACATTTAACCCAACTGCTGGGTCAAAACAACCCAATTGCTGGGTTTGTCCCTATTTTACCCAGCACTGGGTTGTATTTAACCCAGCATTTTTTAGAGTGTGGTTTAATCCATGTATAGGTCCATCGCAGCTCATAGGATGTCGTCACTTGGTTTGATGTGAACTGGAAAACTGTACGCCCAACGTGGGGCTCACGACCCTGAGATTAGCAATGAACCAGATGGAAGAAGCAGGAACTCACTAGACAATAGACCAGTGTGCGGAAGTGTACAAGCTGTAAAAAACACATTGAAAACAAAGTGAATGTAAAACCTGTGGCTGGTTGCATAAAAGGCTTAGTCTTACAAGTTAGTCATCTAATTGTTTAGTTTAAGACCTGTTATATCTTTTTTAATCAGTTACAAATAAACGTAGATAGGTCTTATTTGAATGCAAAAAAAGACCAAGAATGATTACCCCTTGACACAGTCTTAAGTTTATGCAGCTGGCCCCTGAAGTGTTTTCTCAGCAAAACCTGAGGTGATTTCCAAAGAGCTCTCCGAGATTAAACAGTTTGAATAGTGCCCTTTCAATTCAATTGCTTTAGGGTTTTTCTTCGTCTTAATAACCAGTGTTATTAATGATTAATGATTTACCCAAATGAGTTGCCGTGTTTATTATGGTGACATATTGTAAGTATTATAAAGTCCATAGAAATATCAACATGTAAAAGACCTTTTGCACCTTCCAGTTTGAGAACTTCATGTTTAATACATTAATTTTTAGAAAACATAAAAAAGCGAAGGCATTCAAACTGCTGTAATTGTTAATAATCATCCTCTATTTCAGACACTCTACAGTGCGACACAACACATGGTTGGACAACATTTCTTCTACATATAAAAAAGACTGAAGATATAGATATCTGATATATGAAGATATATTATATTTTTAAGAAAAAATATCATTGTAATATTTAATGGGAAAATCATGGAGGTGGAAATATTTCCATTGGAAAGCATCTACGTTTTGCTACAGGAAGCATGTGAAAGGAAAGGGAAAAAAGCCAACGAGTCTGACTCTGTTTTTTTTTTAAAGGTAAATATATATACTTTATGCTGTATTTAAAATGGAACATTACTTTAAAGATTTTTTTCAAAATAATAACAAAAAAAGATAAAACATTAAAGTGCAGAAGCAACAGGCTGTTAATGCATATGGCTGCTGCATGTCTGGAGGTGAAGCATACCAGTTATATGTAAAAGTTGCATTATTTGGAAATGACTTGCAATCTTGCAATGTATAAATCATTACAATAAAATGTTGGCCTGTTCCTCAGACAAACCTATAGGTTTAATACAGAGAGTATTGAAGCCTGTTGTAGACACACAAGTCATTTACTAACAGTCTTTTATGGTGCTTTTATTGAGTGATGTGGTGGTCGCAATAAACTGTCATTGTATGGAAATGATCTGTGATCCTTTTTTGCACCAAAAAATTACATCATATTGGGTTAACTTTTCCTTTTAAGACATTCCCAAGACATTGGGAAGTCGTGGCCTAATGGTTAGTGAGTTGGACTTGTAACCCAAAGGTTGTGGGTTTGAGTCTCGTACTGGCAGAGATTGTAGGTGGGGGGAGTGAATGTACAGCACCGAACTCCCAACTGCTCCCCGGGTGCTGCAGCATAAATGGCTGCCCACTGCTCTGGGTGTGTGTTCACTGCTGTGTGTGTGTGTGCACTTTGGATGGGATAAATGCATTGCACTAATTCCACATGTCAGGTTTAAGTGTAATCTGCATACATAAAACTAAGTGCAAGTGACTTCTCTTTAGGACATATATGCAATACATTTCTTTAGGGATTTAGTGATGGCATTCGGAGATGACGGTTATGTCTTCAGTATTGCAGAAGGGTATTTCGAAGGGATAGTTTGCTATAACACTAAATCTTTCACAAAGAGAAAGTGAAAGTAGATGTGGTGTGGTATAAATATTCTGCAGGTGAAGCTGAGGTGTAGCAGTGAACATTGAAAGCCAAGCCTAAGTGTGGAAACTATCAAAGACATGGACATGATATACAGCTATGTCAGCTCATGGTAAGTTACTCCAATTTCATTTTGAAAATTTGCAGTATTCTTTGTACAGGATTTAACTATGGCAAAGTGTGTAAAACAGCACCAAGGGTATGTAGTGGAAGCAAAAGCATGATTAGATTAACTAAAAATGTTCACATTTTACCTTTACAAAATAAAGCTTACTTAAAGTGATAACTGAAGTAACAGAAGTGGTAACACTTTAGATTAGGAAACACATATTCACTATTAACTAAGATTTTTCCCTCAATAAACTCCTAATTTGTTGCTTATTGATAATAAGTAAGGTAGTTGTAATAGTTACGTTTAGATATTGGGTAGGGTTAAAGGATCTAAAATATGGTCATGCAGAATAAGGCATTATTTAAGGCATTAATAGGCTTTATTAGCTCTAATAAACAGCCAATATGCTACTAGTAATATGCACGTTAATAAGCAGCTAGTTAACAGTGAATGGTGTTCCCTAATCTACAGTGTTACCAAAAAGTATATAATATGACAACAAAAATAGCCTAATTTTTAAAGGTCAGATCAGGTAGAAATAGGTAAAAACAGCACTTTCACAACCATATTTAAACCTCTTCAAATTATAATAACGTCCAATTATTATAATAAGGAAAACAGGTTGTACAAGTTCTGTTAAACAGGTCGCGTTGCATCCGGGTTCAGGTGTTTTGTATGTGCTTTGTTAAATATATTAGTGTTGTTTTACTCAAGATGCCTTCAAAGGAGCTACCAAAGATGATCATAACTGATGTCCATCACATATGCTTACATTTTGATATTAAAATGTAATAAAACACCAACAATGAAAACAACTTGTTAGCTGATTACCTTAAAAGTCCATAAATATCTAGAAAAAAAAAACTAGAAAAGCTTAGCCTAGAGTAGATTAGAACAACGTTTTCATTCATATGCATACTACTTTGAAATAACCTTTGATTGGTAATGTGCTTTGAAGGTGGGTAAGATCATTCTCCTGGTGGACAAGCAGCAGTTCAACACCTGCAAACAGTTCGACAGCGAATCAGAATCAGACGGAGGCATCAGAGAGTTCAAACGAAAGTATGGTGGACATCCAGCTTTTCTAGTTCATCCACTTAGCTCATTATGTTTAATGGATGTTTTGTAGTCACTTAGTGGAGACACTTGACTGAATTTGTTCTCATTATCTGAAACATCTTTTGATTTTGAATAGTAGTGTATGAAATCATTCTATAATTTATTGCAGGCATGACTGTGATTTAAATCCTGAAACTGCAAAATAATAGTGAAGTTAGTCAACATGGATTACAATAATTGACTTACTTTCTTAATACACATTCATGGTCTTATTGTGCACAATTCATCAGTGTATTTTAATACACATAAAACAAGTTTGGCTTTTAACAAAAAGCATTAATTTGCTCTTTTCAGATGACATCCAAGTCACAAAACCTCCTCACACATTGGTGTCTGAGGTCCAGGAGGGGAACAGTCCTGAACAAACCACTGTAAACTCACATTCGGGTCATTCTGGTATGAAACGCCTACTTTATAACTCTAACCCTATACAAACAATTCCCAATGGATGAAATCAACTCAAGTTTTTGTGATCTTGATGTTATTTAATCATTGTTTTGCTGTCTTATTTCAGATCATCCTCACATCCCACCACAGTACTGATCAAACTCATTCACTGACCCTGATGAAATCGCCAAAGTAGACAAGATCAACCTCAATGTAAAATGTGCTGGAAAGACCATGGAAGTGGACATGTTCCCACTGGAAAGTATCTCCGTTTTACTAAAGGTGGCCTGTGAACGGGCAGGGAAGAAACCAGAGAAAATGTCGCTGGTTTATGAAGGTAAACAAAGCATTCATTCATTGTTCTTGAGGTTGATCTGATGCAGAGCATGTCATTTGTATTGAATCATGAAATGGATTGGCATGGAAATATGAAATATGAATATTATGTACTAAAAACTTTAGTTTGATGAGTGGGCCTGCATATCATTAATTGCTAACCTTATTTATTTTTAGGAAATCGTCTGGATGTGAGCAAGACAGTGAGTCGCTATGGACTACGAGGAGGACCCACCGTACATTTGATTCATGCCTAGGAATCATATCTCACAAACAAGTTCTGTTAATACACAAGTACACTACATCAAATATTGTAAAAACGCATTGTTATTATTATTATTATTATTCAGTGATATTATGTCCTTTAAAACAGTCTTTTCATTTATTGTTAAAAGTATAGCCTAGCATTGCCGTTTACAGTCTTATATATGTAATTAAATTAATGTTTACACTGTTACCGCTGTAATGTTATTTTAATGACCATTTTTTTAACATATGAAATATATTTTGAAAACACTATAAATAAAAATGAATTCACTCAAGAGCAGCACTGACTCACATACATGAGTTCATTAAGACATAGTAGCCTATTTTTAATTTTATATCGGGACACTTTATAGCTGAGAACAGTTGATTGTTATTCAGCCATCAGGGACTTTCTCTGACTGTAAAATTTGAAAATGTAAACAAAGCGTATTACATACTGTTAATATTAGCGTAAAGTTCTGCCAATGACATTTATATGGATTAAATTAATATGGATTAAAGTAAGTGAATTTGTTAAAAATGGATGAAATTTGTTGGAATTTTGTTTCGATTCAAGCACATGCCAATACCGTTCGAGTGCGGGTTGTAACGGAGCATTTCATTGGTTAGACACACGGAATGGACACGCCTCTTTCACTGAACTAGCCGACTAGAGCGCATGTTGTTCGATTGAGGTCGGGAGGTCATTCCACCAGCTGGGCACAGACCAGAAAAAGGTCTGTAAGAGTGATTTGGTACCTCTTTGGGATGGCACCACAAGGCGCCGTTCACTTGTAGAACGCAAGCTTCTGGAGGGCGCATAAGTTTGAGCTAGAGAGTTTAGGTATATTGGTGCAGCGCCAGTGGTGGTCTTGTAAGCAAGCATCAGTACCTTGAATTTGATGCGAGCGGCTACTGGTAGCCAGTGTAAACTGATGAGGAGAGGAGTAACGTGAGCTTTTTTTTGGGGAAGGCCCGCCAAGAGAGCATTACAATCAAATGAACAACTCATTTTGTTATGACAATCCTACAAAAATAATGCCCCTGAACACAAGATGAAATATGAAGGGCACTCTGGAAGCTTCTGGTTGTTCCAGGAGATTGCTGAGGGCCTTTTCCTTGTCCTCTTCCTCCATTATAAGGAAAAGAGGCTCTTCCACTGGCCCCCTGAGCAGATGTCTATTGTAATGGAGCGAGAAAGCGTAGCCTGTTATCCAATTGGAAGGGCCTCTTGTAGGGTTTCTGCACTGTAATATACATGTATCTTAAATTCAAATTGGTTAGAAGGGGGAGCAAATGTAATGTTGTACTGGAAAACAACAAAAAATAAGAATATTCTCACTGTAAATGGCACACAAAAAAAACCTCCTTGTTCCTTATTTAACAACTAAATAATCACACCAATAATTGGTTGCAAAGGTGTATAGTATAGCCTAAAATAAATAAATAACTACACTGGTAAACTATTATGCAATAATAAATTGTGAGTACATATATTAAACAAACAACTCGAGATATTCTTACCTCTACAGACAACTGCCTTGTTGAAGTGGATTTGAAGATGACTTATTAATTTGACCAGTTTGGCTGGCTTAAACATGCTGGTCAAGCAGAAAACTGCTGGTAATTGCTGTAACACTCGTTGCACTGCTGCAGCTCAGGTAATGCGTCACCTCTCTGACAGAGCGCTGGCGTTCAAGAACTCAAAGTCCGGTTTGCGTTGCGCGACGTAGGAGCCAATGTTTAAAAGCGTGTGTCCGTATATGTCTCTAGAAGAGATGAAGCCACACACATTTATCTCAATGATGACAAATAGGATTAAAATAACTAAACTACAAGGTAATATTAACACACAAACAATGCATATAACAGAGGGAATTAAAGCAAACTATTTATTTTTATGAATAACAAACGTCTTCAAAACTTCACCTCAAGGCCCATTTACAGCATGCAAATGAAAATTAATCGAAACATCCACAGAAAAAAGTGATATACTATAAAGTATGACAACAAATTCAAGCTTCAATATAAGATAATAAAGCCAAGCACACATTAAGTACTTAGCAGACAAATGCTTAACGTAATACATTCGATAATTATTAAACATATAGCAAAAACATTACAGACTACTCACCGTGTGCTCTCGTTGTCAATAACTCCGCCCCTCACTTCCGGTTCTGTGACTGCTGGTGCTGCGGGTCTGCAGCTGGATATATCTCGACTAGAGCGCATGTTGTTCGTTTAGGTCAGGGGTCACCAAACTCATCCTGGAGGGCCGGTGTCATGCACAGTTTAGCTCCAACTTACCTCAACACACCTGTCTGGAAATTTCAAGTGTATCTTGATTAGCTGGTTCAGGTGTGTTTAATTAGGGTTGCAGCTAAATTCTGCAGGTCGTCTGGGCCTCCAGGACTGAGTATGGACACCCCTGGTTTAGGTCATTATGTGAGAGCAAGGAGAGAAGAATGATGAATATGTTAAAATGTCCGATAACCAATTCATTTAGGCTATTATTGTTATTTGTAATGTTTTAAGTCATTCTCAGAAGATCAATGAAAATATCTTCTTTGTTGTAATTAATGTGTAAGCACTTATGATTATGCTTACTCGCGTTAGATGTGTATTCATGAAAATGAATAAAGAATAATACAACGAATTAATGATTCACTGATGCAACCTGCAGATTAGAAGGGACCACTGAACGAAAGCGAGAATCAGTGAGTGAATCATTTTGGTGAACTGGCTCGAGTTACTCGGATGAATCAAAAGTCCCAACCACCACACTCAAAAGACATTTACAGGCGCTATAAACCAGGGCTGTCCAAACTCAGTCCTGGAGGGCCGGTGTCCTGCAGAGTTTAGCTCCAACTTGCCTCAACACACCTGTCTGGAAGTTTCTATGCCTAGTAAGAGCTTGATTAGCTGGTTCAGGTGTGTTTAATTAGGGTTGGAGCTAAACTCTGCAGGACACCGGCCCTCCAGGACCGAGTTTGGACAGCTCTGCTATAAACACTCAGCTGTAGTGCAGCAACAGAAACCACGTGATTAACGCGGAAGTTGTAGCCCTTCAGTGAAAGTGAAGTCGAGCACTCGCTCGCAGATCAGCGCCCGCCTGGTTCTGACTGGAGCTTTGGGTTTTGCGCTTCTGGTTCTGGTTCTGGTTCTGGTTCATTTCTGTAGAATCCTGGGAGGTTCGACGCGCGATTTTAGACTGAAATCTACAGCAGCAGAAGCCCATTATCAGTGAGAATAGGTGAGTATTTCAAGCCATTTGCTTTTGAAAATGATCGATGTTGCATAAGTTTGTGCACGACTATTAGAAGAGGTCTCAAGAAGATCCATGCATTGTGTCCTTCTGTCTGTCTCTTTTCACTCGTTCTGCTTTAAACGCGTCTGAAGTCGGTATTTCATTGTTTCATTGTAACGTTACAGTTCGACAGTCGTTCTAGTCTAAAATCCCATAGAACAGTCTGCAGGCATTGCTTTCTCAACACCAGGCAGGATTTGAAGGCTTCATCAAGCTCTTTTGTAAGGCAACAGACTGAATGGCATTGACTGTAAAGGTGCTGAAAAAAAGAGATTTATAGGATGCATTTGAAATGAGAACACTTGCATGGGACATACTATATGTCAAGCTTCCCAAAGTTATTTGCCTCAGGAAAATCCCAGTATACAATTTGTGAAGAATGCATGAGAGCAAGCCACAGCAGATTCTCCTGCGGAATGGCATGGCTTTCAGGATTAAGATGCATGTTGAATATGGTTTGGTTTAAAGGGTTATGACATAAACATAGCCCATAAATTTCCTTGTTAGAGCAATCCATATGAGACATTGACCCTGTTTGATCTCTCTCTCTCTCTCTCTCTCTCTCTCACTCTGTGCCATGTTAGTACAGACTGGAACTGGTTCATATCTGTTGCGCCACTGTGGTTGTCACTTCAGCCAAAGTGTGTGGTGTAGAGATGGAGGGAAATCTGTGTGGTTTGACATTAGATTTCTGGTCATGTTGTAGTGGAGAAAAGAAGGAAATATTACATGAGCAATTGTCCATTATTTCTGCACTTCTCACTCTAAATTAATTTGATAATTTGTGAAAGTAAGTAGAGAAATAGGACAGAGAAAGAAAATGAAAGACCACAACTGCCAGGGTTTGTTACTGTAAAATTAACAGGATATTTTCCTAACTGTGTTATCCATCCTGAGTCTTCATACCTTCAGCTTTCATGGGGCCTGTTATAATGTATAATATTAAAGTAAATGGACTGACTGAGAAAAGGGCAGCAGGTGTATTTTGTGGAGTTTGGAATTAGCAACCACACCCTTTGAAAAGTGGAATGTAGTTATTATACTTGGTGCACAAAAGATTAGTTATAGCATTTGGTGAACATAAAATGGTTATTGCATTTGGTGCAGAAAATTTTTTATTGCATTTGGTGAACAAAAAATAGTTATTGCATTTGGTGCACAAAAAATTAGTTATTGCACTTGGTGCACAAAAAATTGCTATTGCATTTGATGCACAAAAAAGCAATTTTAGCATTCGATGCACTAAATTAGTTATTGCATTTGGTGCACAAGTCAGTTACTGGTGCACAAAAATTAGTTATTAGTGCACAAAAAATTAGCAAAATGCCATGCAAAATTCACTGCTATGATGCCAGGGTGTTGCTTAGCAGTTGCTAGGGTATTCTGAGTGGTTGCTAGGTGGTTACTTGCTGGCTTAAATTAAAAGAGCCCATCCACAAGTCTCCATGATGGTTTTGTCTGTTTGTATGTAAGTCTGATTGCTTAGCAAAGCAATACACACTATTCGATGCTTACAATTAGGGGCTTGTTCAGATCACTAGCCCTAAGCATGAGCAAAAGAAATAGTGATGCACCTTGAAAAAGCACTATTGAGTGTTCTGTTGAAATCAGAATAGCAATGAGAATGTTTTGCGTTTATGTTGCAGTGCTGAATGTCTGCTGCGATTATGATCTGAGCTCTCTGCCACTTAATTATGTCATCAAGCTTTCTACTCGCCGATGTGTGCATTTATTTAACA